GGGGGCTTCTGGGGACTAGAGATGCTCCAAGTCCTCTGTGGGTGTGACACATGTGTCTACATAAAGTTCACATTTAGAGAAGCAAACAAAAGGACCAGAGACATGGCTCAGCCTGTAAAGACACTTGCTGTGTGTGTAAGTCTGGGGAGCTGAGCTTGATCTCTCTCTTGATATCTCTCTCTCTCTCTCTCTCTCTCTCTCTCAGGCACACTATAACAAATGAAATAAAAGATTATTTTTAAAATGTCAACCAAAAAAAATGACCTCTTGAGGCAATAATGACCCTGTCATTGCTGGGGTTACTCCTCCAGTTTCATCTTTGGTCTGGACACCAGCCAGCCATGGTGTGGCAGAGAGAAATGGAGGTGACGATCCCTCGGAATCTGTCACAGGAGAGGGGGCACCTCCCACACTGGCAGGGCGGGGTGGGGAGTAATGAGAGTAACACCCATGGCACCCGAGGATGCTCAGCAACTCCTCTTCCTCGGGACTCTGCTCAGTATCTCCCCACTGCTCTACTGAAAACTTGCTTCTTGCCAGGCATGGTGGGGCATGCCTTAGCCCCAGCACTTGGCCAGCAGAGGCAGAAGGATCTCTGTGAGTTCAAGGCCAGCCTAGTCTACCAGGTGAGTTCTAGGACAGTCAGGACTACACAGAGAAAGTCTGTCTTGAAACAAACAAACAACAAAAAGCCCTGCTCCCTGGACCAGTGAGACGGCTCTGCAGGTAAGGCGTGTGATGCCGAGCCTGATGACCTGGGTTTGGTCCCTGGAATGCGGAAGGATGCAACCAGCTCTCAGAAGCTGTCCTCTGCCTTCCACATGTGCACAAGCCCCGCCCCCCCCCCCCCCCCCCCCAATATAGAAATAAAATTGTGTTAGGAAACAAAACACCCTGCTTCCTGTTTCCAGCACAGCCAGCACAGCCCCGGCCACTGCCGTGTCTTTCTGATTTGTCTTCAGCACTTGCTGTGCTTTGGAAGGCAGAGCTCACAGTGGCAATGCCTTTTCTCAAGGGAGTGCATGCTCTGGGCAGGACGCAGGACGGGCAAACCCCTATCAAATAAGGCCGCCCAGGCTTGGCTTCTCCTGCAGATCACACCCCTTTTTGCCTTGGCACCACAAAGTGCTGTGGCAAAGCCGGGCCTTTGCTGAGACAATGGTGTCATGCTGTCTGGACTCAGGAGCCACCAGGAACAAGATAGCATCACTTACAAAGTACGCAGCCATCGGCCTCTAAGTGTACCCAGCGTGGGCATTTTGTCATCATAGTGCAAAACCGGCAAAGGCAACACTTCACAAAATCTAACAAGTGCTTTCCACCTTTTTAAATTTAGCATCTGTTTCTCCCAACCATATATACATAAACACATGTTTTTTCACTCTAGGACAGTTTTATTAGCATGAAAAACAAGAGAGGCAGACTGCAAGTCCTGGTAGCTTCCAGGAGAAAGGAGATGAAGAGGAGGAGGAGGAGGAGGAGAGCCATTCTGTTTGCAGTGGACTCTGACAAGCAGCCACATGGCAAAGGGAGAGGGGGCTTCGGAGGGACTGAGCAAGCCCACCCACAGGCTTTCAGATGCGATGAGGAGGCTTTTCTGAAGGTATAATGTCTACACGGCAAACCGCACAGACAGCAGTCCTGACACGTCCCCACATCTGTAGGTAACGGCAGTAAAACTGTGACGTGGGGGGGGGGGGGCAGGGTAGTTTCCATGAGGCAGGAGAGCTCCCTTCCTGTCCACGCCCAGGTGGAGGCACCCTGGGTGCCGCAGACTGCCTTTGCGCACTTTGGGCCCTGTGTTTACGCAATCATGCAGTGTGTGCTTCTCCCAGGAGCTGGCACAGGGCTGCACACATCAGTGGCATGTCCCTTTGACGGCGGGGTACTGCTCCACAGTATGAACGGCGATAGATGGCCAGTGCAGCTACTTACAGCTTTTGCCTATGAATAAGTTGCTGTGAATATTCTTGCTGTCTCGTTAGAGTTGTACGTTTTTGTTGTCCTCGAACAAGTATCTAGGAGCGGAAGGCAGGGTGTTTTGCCTGCTCTGCTCATGGTCCCCTCCCCAGTCCTAAGGGCACACCTCCAGACTTCAGAGGCCCACCTCACACTTGTGCAGTAGCAGAAGTGTGATGCACTGCCCCCCAGTGGCCATGCCTGGCGCAGCTCCGCTAGCTTCCCAGCATCCTGTGCCCAAACCACGGGCTACGGGGGTCTCCTTCTATGTATGTGTGCTCGCCACAGTGAAGGCATGGGAGGAGGGGAGGATCTTCAGATGGTCTCTGGTCTCCAAACATGAGATCTGGTGATGGACGGCATGGGATGTGCAGCTGGGGAAGGTGACTCGGCTACAGGACACTACTAAGTTCCAGGAGGGCGTGATGGGACAGTATGCCTGCGGTGTTGGGGAGGGCTTCTGGGCAGAAGGCTTCTCAGGAGGGAGTCACTCAGGAATTAAGGAGACAGAGCACAATAAGGCTTCAGGTTTAAAATGTTGTTCTAGGAGCCTGTGAGATGGCTCAGCAGGAAGGGTTCTTGTCATCAAGCCTGAAGACCTGAATTTGATTCTGGGAACCCACATGGTACAAAGAGGAAACTGACTCCTGCAACTTGTCCTTGGTCCCACCCTACCCCCTCCTCCCATACACTAAAAAATTAAAACTGCTGAGCTGAGCGAGTGAGGCAAGGAGCAGGACTCCCAGAGCCTCACCCATCAAGCTTCAGAACCTGGGTCTGTTAGTGGCTTGTGACAGATGCCACGGAAAGGGTCTCAGGACAGGAGCCCAAGACTTCGTGTCAATGGCAGGAATGGAAGACAAGGTGAAGCAGATGAAGTGAGATGGAGAGGCCGGACTGCCAGCTCAGCAGTCTAGGCTTACCTACGTCAGTCGGGGGAAATGGCAGGCAAGAATGAGGTTCAGGAAACAGCTATGGGGCTGCAGATGGGCTCAGGGACAGAGGTCTGCTCAGCATGCACAGCCCTGGAGTCACCAGAGCCTTATGATTGCCTGGACACGGGAAAGTGACAAAGGGAGTTCTGAGTTCAGTGACAGACACTATTTGTAGAGACGTGCTTGGGGCCAAGGCTAGCTGTGGACAATTTCTCTGCCAACTCCAAGCAGACGCAGGGCTGAGTTTGCTGGTTTTGACTCTTTCGTAACAAGTGTGACAGGGCACAAAGCAAACGCAGGAGCTAGGTGGCTAATTATAAAAGCTGGAGAGGGCTAGCAAGATGGCACGGTAGGTGAAAGTGGCTGCCACCAAGCCGGAGGACCTGAGTTCAAGTCCAAGACACACATAATAGAGGTGAAAACCAAGTCCCACTAGTGTCCTGTGATCTCTGCGCGCGCGTGCGCACGCGCACGCACGCACACACACGCGCACACACACACACACACACAGGCTTCACACACACGTTTTTAAAACGTAGTAGAGAGAGAAATAAAGTAACAAAAGGCATGCAGTTTACTTGGTGTTGAAACAATCTGCCATTTAACTGGAATAATAATTTTAAATCTCAATCCCTGACATACAGGAAAATGAATTACGAGTGAATTTCTGTTTGTGTGTGAGTGTGAACCAGGGGACCAGGTTCCTGGCTCACAGCCATCTCTAACTGCAGTTCCATGAGATCCAACTCTCTCTTCTGGGCTCCACAGGCACCAGGTTCGCACATATTGACATACATGCAGGCAAGGCAAAGACTTATATAAACAGCTGCGCAGAGAGATGGCTCAGTGGCTAAGAGCACTTACTGCTCTTAGCGAAAGCCAGGGCACACTGGGCAGCACCGTAACTCCAGTGCCAAGGGGTCTGCTGCCCTCTTTTGGGCCTTGAGGGCACCTGTATCTACATGCACATGCAGAGCCAATTTTAAAATGTTTAAGGATGGATAATCAAGGGCCACAGGCTGTGCTGCCTGTTTTGATGCAGACAACTCTCAGGCATGAGACAGCCAAGGACAGACAGGGCTCTAGGCTCAGCCATGGTCAAGCCACAGAACGAGCAAAGGCACTGAGGTCAGAGGTTCTGCCTGAGTTTGGAAGACTCACTAGGCCACTCCCCCTCAGCGCTGCCAGCCTGGAGAGCGGGTTGGGACCTCTACTTCACAGAGCTGCTGGGGCCCCGAGATCGGCATGCCATAGCACTTGGTAAAGAGCTTGACTCGGGTGGGTTTCTGGGGCTCCTTCCGATGTTCTTTTCTGGCTGGTTTGGGCTTTGTACTTGCTTGCTGTTTGTTTGATCTTCTGAGACAGGGTTTCACTGTGCAGTCCAGGCTAGAACTCGAAATCCTCCGGCCTCATGCTGGGATTATAAGCATGTGCCACCTGACTGCTGGTTCCTTCACATATTTGGATTCCTACCCATGCCCCTAAGTAGTTGACAGGGAGCTGCACTGGTCACAGGGTGGGGGTGACTCTATAAGCACAGCAACAGAGGAAACCCAGGAGGAAAAACAGTCCTCGGCTCCTTTAAGATTCTGACTGACCGGGCCGCTGGAAGCGGCTGGACTGTGGGATAGTCGCGGCGAGCTCTCAAAATTAACTCTCCGCAATGACAAGAGCCACGGGGTCAGGACAGAGGAGTGGGGAGAGGCCGGACCCACGCCATCCTCCCTGCATGCTCACACCACTCCTGAGGTCCAGCATGGGTGCGGTACTTAACCACCAATGCCAGTGTCACACATGGGCACCGGATCTGAGACACGTTTGGAGAATCTTAAGATAATCCAGTTAAGCCAGCACGCTATCTGTTCCTGGCAGAACGGAAGTGCGCCGCGAGGCTGTTCTTGTGAGGAAGCAGGTCTTGTAGGTGACATGTGCGATCATCTCAAGAGATAGCCTTCAAGCTGCCTCGGCTGCCCAGACTGCTCTGCGTGGAGCAGCGGGGCTACCTGTCTCACTGTGGGCGAGCCCCGGCCAGCAGCGGCACACCTGCGGACACACCTGCGGACACACGCACACAGACGGCAAGCAACAGCGCACTCGGATTCTTACCCACATATTCCGAGAGGAAGACGACAAAGAACGGAGTGACCAGGTCATTAATTCCCTGGACATACCCACTGGCGGGGTGCCGGATGGCCCAGATAAAGAGAATTCTTTCAAAGATCTAGGAAGAGGAGAAGGAAAGGGGACGTGAGTGTTAACTTCTTCCTCCTCTCACCCGCTTTACCATTTACCTTGGATTAGTGAAAAGTTCTGAGAAATTTTCAAAGTGCTATGGGGCGAAGGAAGAGAATCAGAGAGCTCGGAACATGTGAGCGTCTCTGCCCAGCGCTTCTTGTCCTCTCTCTGTCAGTATCTGATGACCATGACAGGGCACAAATGGGTGACAGGATCCTGAACTCCGCCCCTTCTCTGTGTCAGGGAGCGAGGTGTGCCACACGACAGCTCTGGTGTGCTTTTCTACGCCTTCCTTGGTCACCACAGGACTGAGAGAGGAAGCACCACGCTCCCTCGGAGAAGGAAAGAGCTCAATATTCCATTCTGGGGCCTGGAGAGATGGCTCTGTGGCTAAGACCCTGGTACCCACGCATCAGCCCACAACTATCGGTAACTCCAGGGGATCCATCGCCCTCTTCTGGCCTCCACGGGCACTGCAGGCACATGATGCCCATAAATGGGTGCAGGCAAACACTCAGACACATAAAATAAGATCTAAAATAATAATAATAATAATAATAATAATAATAATAATAATAATAATAATGATAATAATAGGGTTTTCTGGTTCAGCCTGATTAGGGTTGGTGACAATCTCTTCTTGTATTAAGTCCCTTTATGCACCAGGATGCAACCACCTATCTGCTGGGTTAGGGCTGGGGAGACGGATCAGCAGCCAACGGCATTCACCACTAAGCCTGACAACCTGAGCTTGATCCCCAAGACCCGCATGGTGACAGAAGGAAAGTCCTGATGCCCTGTCCTTGGATCTCTACACACATGCCGTGGCGTGCACACCCCCCCCCAAATAAACAAACGCAACAATACAAAAGTAAAACCATACAGGTCCTGCAGGCTTCTGCAGTCAGGGGGCTTGGGACAGAGGGAACCCATGGGAGAGCCTTTGGGGGTTACACATCTCAATTAAAATATGTCAGAGGCCTTGTGGGGGACAGAAAGAGAGCTTCATGGCCCCTTGCAGAGTCCCGCCCCATCCCATCCGCAGGTGCCGCTCTGCGTCACTGGGCTTTCTGAGCTCCATCTTCTCTCAGTGCAGTGACAAATGTTCACTGGCTCTGTCCTGCCGGCCATGACCCCCGGGCCTGGCACTTCTGGAGAACGGCTTTGTGCTAGCCTGGATCTTTATGACACACACAGGAGGGACAGCAGAGGCGATGATGAAGACAGGATAATGGGCCAAGGGATCAGACGGCCTCCATAGCACACCACACCCCAGCCAGTCCTCAAGACAAGGACTTCCAAAGAGAATGCAAAGAGGGAAGAGTTAGACAGCTTTTGGAGGTGGTCAGCTAGGGTAGGGACGATGTAAGGACCCTAGAGACACACTGAAGGCTGTCAGCCCCTCTCGGAGAGTCTGGTGGGGAGAGCTGGGAAGCACCCCCACAGTGAGCTGGCCTTGCTGCTTCCACCAGAATTACCCTGTGTCCCCTATGGTTGGAGGAGGTGTGATGTCCTTGTTTTATGATACTCTCCGAAGGGAGTCCTCCTGCACTCAGTCTAAACGACCCTTTCTACCTCAGAAATGTAGCCCAGGCTATACCCACTGTGTCCTGGAAAAAAAAATCCCAAGCTTTCCCGGCCCTACTGTTTCCCTGCATCTCTGTTACCTGTCTCTATCTCATGCAGAACACTTGCCCAGCATGTATGGGCCCTGAATTTGATCCCCAGTGTCACAAAAACCAAACAATTGTCTCCAGGTTGGTCTTCTGGAAGGCCTCACGGAGCCTGCTACTCCAGAGTCTCTGTCGGGTCTGCAACCCTGTCAGCATGGTGGTGGGCTAGTCCTCTGCGCCTCCATTCGCTAAAAATAACACGCCCAGTGCAGAGGGGTGATGCCAGCAAAAGTGCAGAGAGTAAAGTGTGAGCTTCCATTTCTGCACGTCGTTCCACTAGTTGGAGACGCCCGTTAAGCTGCTGGTCACAACCCTAGGATGAGAGCTGGCACACGGGAGCGAAAGGCACAGACGTGAGCATGGCAGGGTGGAAGGAGGAGGAAGCAGGGCTAGCCTTCAGAGGCCGGATGGGGGAACAAAGGAATGCGTTTTCAACTTCCTTTGTGCTGCGCCTTATAATGTTTCAACCCTATGGTGTTGGAAGTTACAATCCATGTGCAAATGGAATTATGAATATTATCCACAGCCACTGAAGTTATCCTTCCAACCATTCCTCTCTATTTCGGGAAGAACTCAAAGCCTGTTTCAAAAGCGCTGACGCTCCACATCCTGACTGCAGCAGCAAAGGAAGCTGCTGGTGTCACGAGTGATTGTCCCCACTTGAGTCAAGCCAAAGGGGACAGGGCGGGAGGGCTCAGTGGGTGAAGGAATCTGCTGACAAGACTGAAGACCAGGACCAACACAGGGAAAGAGAAAACCAACCCCGTCAGTGTTCCTCACACACACACTCTCACACAGACACACAGACACACAGACACACACACACACACACACACACACACAATACACACACACACACACACACACACACACGCACGCACGCTGCACCCTCCACAACATTCATACATACATAATGTAATAAAAACATTTCAATGAAAGCATTCCTGACACTGAATTAAACCAGACACAAAATGACAAAAACCATGTAATTCTATTTATCTGATGTATTTAGAGTGGCCACAGCCATAGACAAAAGGTAGAACGGTGGCGGCAGGGAAGGGGGTTACTATTTAATGCATACTGAATTTAAGTGGGGGGAAAAAAGGAAGACTGTCTGGAGACAGATGAAGGGGTGACCAGGGAACTCAAACGCATGAAATGCCACTGAAGTAGAAACTGTTAATTACCCAGTGCTCACTGAAAAAGGGAACAACATGGCAAATTCATGCTATGTATATTTTATCCCAATTAGAAAGTCACCATTCCACCTTAAAAAGAACACACCCAGCAACAGGAACTTTATGATAAGATTCTTCCTGCCTCAGGCCTTGGGGCAGAGCACGACTTGGTCCCCAGGCTTGCTACAAAGGATGAGGGTGGAAGAAGTATTCTGGTCCCAAAGTGCCACCCGTGGACATGGGGCACCCCCGCAGAAGGACCAGACAGTAAGGAATCCGCTCACCTCCTGGACGAGCGGCTGCTGGAACAATGGAATGAGAGGGTTCGTCCTTGGAATGTCAATGTGAATCTGAAAAACAGAAGCCACAGCCCACACATGAACACCAGTGTGTAAGGTGTCGGGGTCACAGGAGCACTCAGCGCTCAGCTTTAAGAGGACAGAGAGCCCAGCCACAGCCGCCTAAGAGGACTGTGCTCCCATGTTGGCCGCAGCTCAGAAAGAAAACACCCACATACGCCACTCAGCCAGCCCAGGGTCACCCCTCGGCCTCCCAGGGCCCCTCTGGCTCTCGAGCTGGATGCCCCGGGAAGGCACTGTTCGCCAGATACGGTCAGTGTGCTCCCCTCTTTCAGGGTCTCATTCAGTCACAGTTCCTAAGAGTCTGCTGTGGTGGTGCAGGCCTGTGTTCCCAGGACCCAAGAGGCTAAGGCCAGGCTGGGCTATACTGCAAGTTCAAGGCCAGCCTAGGCAACACAATGAAACTCTCTTTAAAAAAAAAAAGAGAGAGAGAGAGAAAGAGAGAAAGAAAAAAAGAAAGAAGCCAGCTAGGAGTGGTTAATAGTAATTTCAGCATTCCTGTAATCCCAGTACTGGAGAGACAGAGGCAGGCTAGCCTGGTCTATGGCCTGAGCTAAAGGCCAGGCGGTGATACATAGTGAGACAATGTCTATACAGCAAACAAACCCCACAACTATTGCTAGGATTCAAAGGAGCTCCTGCTGTTAGAAATGTGCTAGCGCAGAGAACCAGGACAGGAAGTGCTCTCGACATCAGTGAGCGAAGAAGGGTCAGCGCGGCCTGCAGTAACCAGAGCTGTGGCTCTCACTTCTGCTACAATAGGTCACTGTAGTTAGCACTGGCTCTGAGGCCTCTCCAACGCCCAGGCTAACTTCCTAAAGCCAGTGTCCCCACCAGAAGAGGCCTCTGCATTCTGGGGCAGTCACAGCAGCTGTCCACTGCCCACCTTGGCAGCCCCACCTCCCCCGTGAGGCTCCCTGCAGGCAATGGGCGCCAAGTGGGCACACGGCACTCTCAGGCACACGCTGATGTCACAGGGGACCGACCACTTCCTAGCTCTCTGCCTTTGCTGTGGGTCCCACGGCCCTTAATCCTCACAGGATGGCCTGTGGCCAACAGCACTTCTCTTAACAGGGAGCGTGCCAGAACAGGCCTCACCTCCTCCTGCACCTACTGGTAATCCAAGGTGTGTGTGTGTTGTATGTGCATGCGCGCGCGTACTCCAGTACATGTGTCTATGGGTACATGCATGTATACAGTGTGTGCAGTGTGCACATGTGAATCTGCTGAGTGTGTGTATGCATGGGTACACGTGTGTGTACACTTGTGAACGTGTGTGGTGATCTGTACACACACGGAAGACGAGAAGCGGCACCGCTGACCAGTGCTAAAAGCCATACCTACCCGAGGACAGGGGTAGCACACACCTATGACCCCAGCAGTCAGGAAACTGAGGCAAGTTAGTCAGCCTGAGTTAGAGTAAGACTCTGTCTCGGAAGCAAACAAACAAAGAAATTCAGGGGCCGGCTCAGCAGCTCAGAGTGCAGCTGCTCCTCCTGAAGACCTGAGTTTGGTTTCCAGACTCACATCGCATAGCTCAGAACCGCCTCTCACTCCAGCTCCAAGGATTCAACACCCTCTTCTGGCTTCCACAGGCACCTGAACTCACGTGCACCTACGCACGTACGCATGTACACACACACACACACACACACACACACACACACACACACACATCCCCCAATGGTGACTTCTATTTATTTAAATGCTAAGTCACAGCTGCTGAGTGAGAAGGCGGGTCTCAACAGGATCCCTGACTGTGCCCGGGGCCCTGGGAGCCCTGCGGATGCTCAGAGAGCACAGGCGGGGCACGGGCACACACCTGTCGGTAGGTGTCCTGGTGGTGCTCCTCATTGCGAGAGTCGTAGTACTGCTGAATGAAGCCGAAGTATTCCTCCCGCTTCCGCTGCAGCGTCAGCTTCCGCCGCTCAGTGTTTGCCGGCAGGTAGCCCTAAGGACGACAGTGGCCGTCAGAGGGTGCAGTGTCGCAGGAACTGAAGAACATACTGAGGACAGAGCCTTTCCGGTTCGGGCCACCCGACGCTTGCCCTCTTCAGGACGGTGGACGGCAGACAGGCAGATGTCGCGAGGCGGCCTTCCCTGCTTGCTTCTGGTTTGTCCCACACCCTTCACAGCCTGCTGTGGGGCTCCCAGAGCTGGCACCAGCCAGCAGTGAGTGGAGGTCAGCAGGAGGGGCCCCAGCCACAGCCTCCAAGGGAAGGACAAGGACCTGGCAGCTTCCGTGACACTGGATTACATACTCTTCTCCAGTGTGGCATGGGAGCCTCAGCTCCCAGGCTGAACAGGGTCTGTGATTTAGCAGCCTGTAACCAGGCTGGCGGCCTGGACGCCACTCTTGTTCCTAAATCTCCTGTTCCCTTTCGGCTGGCCAAACTCATTCTGAGCAGCCTCTGACCTTGCCGGGAGTGGCAGCGGCACTGAGCACCGCTGTGAGAGCAGGGCAGGGCAGTGTCAAGAGGCCCTTCCTCTCCCTTCCTCTCCAAGGCATTTACGGAGGCCTTCCATGGTGGGGGCCTGAGGACAGGCTCCTGGGGTGTGCACAGAGCACCTGGCCCCATTCGGGCAAACAGGCCTTTGAGAGGCCTAAGCGAGTGAACGGACTCCAGACTTGGAAACCAACCATTGCAAAGCAGGAGCTGGTGGCACCTGCTGTGGGGCAGGGAGGCTAGCCTGGCTTCCCGGAGGCCCTCGGACCGGCTCTTCACAGCTGGGGAGGGGTCTGGTGCTTGCTCAAAGCCAGTGCTGGGACCCCCCTGTCCTGCTAGATCCCTCGTCATAGTTACCAAAGTCACACTGTGACCACAGGGGCCAGCTCCAGTGCTTCGCCACATAGGACTGTGGAAATACACTCACCTGTAGGTGTGGGAATACACTCTCAAGGATGTGTCTCTTTGAACACATCCCCACAGCTGTGCCAGGCCACAAGACTAGAGAAGTCTACGGCACAAGACCAACGTTGGCAGGCAGAGAGCTGTGAGAGGCCCACGCCTCTCTGCATGGTGGGGTGGTGGGGGGGAGACTCACCGACAGGAGTCTCCAGGTCACTGGTCGGACTTCCCTGGGCACGCCTGGCCAGCTCCACTTCCTCAGTTCATCTACACACAGGAAACAGACTCACTGAATCAGTCTTCCCACAAACGTCCCAAGCCAACCTTGGCCGGGTGTCTCCTGCCACCAAATAAGATCACAGCGCCATCACTTGATGAGCCAAGCCAGGAGAGGCTCCTCACCAGTCCTGATCGACAGGGTGCCAACGGCACCTGCAGCAGCCATCCGCTCAGAGAAGGCGTGTGTGTGTGTGTGTGTGTGTGTGTGTGTGTGTGTGTGTGTGTGTGTGTGT